CCAGACTTGCATAAGCTGAGAAGCAGGGTCTATGACAAGTAATGGAACACGGAGAATTCACTCTTCAGGGTATAAAGCACTCAAAGGGGACAACAATGGAGTGGGTGAACAATCATAAGCACTGTCAGCTCGAAAGGTAGGGATGCTCCTAAAGCCATCTGGTTGGATTGGTTGTGTTACAGGACCCTACACTTAGAAGTGCTACTTTCAACCTAAACCAACTGTACTGCTCTGCATACCATGTCCATGTACTCTATGTGTACAGTCTGTATTCATTGAACTTCAAAAATAAACATGAAAGGCAATGAATTAATTTACCTTGATGTTCTCTTATTTTCTCGTTACTCTAGCCAGTTACTCTGCCAGGAACCTATCATTTACAAACACATGTTGAGTATTTCAAATTCACATTGAAATTGTAGGGGGAAAAGCACATACCTAACACTTCATCCATCTACTTTCCCCCTGTGAATGTCAAATCACTGTGTAAGTATAATAGCAGCCTCCAGATTCCCCCTACCTGCCTACCCTTCTCTGCCTCTCTCTTTTTCGCACACACACAAATTTTAAACCTCAATTTGCTCATTGAGGTTCTATGCCATTTATCCATTAAGAAGGCACTGCTCCTGTCACTGTGTCCCCTTCAATCCCTAGTCAACATTCAAGAATAATCACTAACACCATCCTGGCCTATCTCTTTGCTCTGGGCCTCGCTCACCACCTACTTAGACCTATTTGAAATCCTTGCCAACATAAGAAGCCATCTTTGAGAAACTGTTCCAGATTAAAGACCATAGTTTTTCTCATTTTTCTCTCCTATAGATCAAGAAGATTCTTGGAGGGAAAATTAGTGTTGCTCTAATTTATTCATGACACTATCCTTTCCCCCATCTATGAATTAGGATGTGCTCAGATACAAGGCAGAAAATACATGGATAACAATGGCTTAAACAGTTGTTCATCTTTTTTCAAAACCCTAATAAAGTAAACCCAGAGTTGGTTTGACTGCTTAGCAATGTCGAGAAGGACGCAAGTTCTTCTCGTCCTACTACTTCACCATCCTTAGCATGTTGGCATTAATTTTCAGTATTGCCTCACAGTTGCAAAATGGCTACCACAGTTCCAGGCATCATGTCTTCATGTGGCAGTGCCTGGCACAGGAAAAAGGATGACTGAGGTAAAAACTGTTTTAAATTGCTCTCTTTCATGAACCTCAGTCTCTATAGAAAGAAGCAAATCTTTATCAAAAGCTTGTAAGACTGCTTTTTACCTTTAATTGGCCTCTGCCCAACCTTAAAATATTGGCAAAACAAGTCTAAGGTGTTCATGGTTTAACCCACTAGACATGAGCACATTTCTGCCCAAAGAAAACTGGAGTGCTTTAATAAGGAAGAAGAAAGCTGGATATTGAGTAGACAGCTGTATCTGCCATGAATCACTGCAAGGCTTTTGAGAAATGTCGCTGGACACGTGAGCTTCTTTGATCCTCCCGCCCTCCATCCTTCCCTCTGTCCTTCTGTCCTTCTTCCCTTCCTCCTTTCTTCCCTCCCTCCCTCCCTTCCTTCTACTGGTAAGGAGGATTTAAGTAAAATAAAAATGTGGCATAATTCTAAACAAGTTCTATTTATCCCTTCTCTGTACAGTCTAGTTCCTTAATAAATAATATAAAGAAGTATATTTCTCTTTAAGAAGCTGTAGAAAAATAAATTAAACAGGTGAGTTCCTAAAATGCTTTAAAAATTATATCACACTTTTTTATTTGTTTACTTTGACATTTCAGCTCTGCATTATTTAATTCTGGATTGCTCAGTTCCTTCAATGGGTAGTTGATGCTATAAATTAAGTTCCCCAGCCTCTCATTCTGTCAAGAAGTATTCCATTCAAAATTTATTAGGGCCTTCTGCCTTTAAACACTCAAGAACAGTTGCATATGTAAAGCAACCCTTATAATTCCAGAAAGGAATACTTAATAATATAAATACATCTATAATATAGTTTTGATTTTTAAGGTGTGGAGTTTTCTTAGAGCAAGGCAAGTCAACCTTTCAAATGATACACCTTTAAATAATAGCCATATCCCTCCTTTATTTTCCTGTCAATCTAATATCCCTCTCAAGTTTTTTCTCTTTCCCCTTTAAGAGTGACTCTATTTATCTGAACCTATCCATTCACTCCTCATTTTTCAAGTTTAAGCTAGCAGATGAAGACAGACTACTTCCAAATATCTGCAATGAAACACTTTACCTGAAACTCCTGCTGCGAGTAAAACTGATTTTAATTATATAGTATTTGAAAATTTCTCTCTCACAGGCACCGTAAGTCACCGTGTTCAGTGTAAGAACAAGTTATCACTTAGGCTCTCACTGCTAGGCATGCTCTTACTCCAAACGAAAAATACATACCACTATATCAGTGTTTTAAATAAAGCGTTCGCAGTAAACAACAGTTTTGACATGGATGTTTATGATAGTCGCACTTCAAGATTACTGGACATTTTTATATGTGTGCATTATTTCAATCATACAACTTTACAGAAAGCAATTAAGAAAATTGATCATTTGCCATTCACTGGGTAGTCTAGAAAGACTCTAGAAAACTATAATGTGGCTATAAATCATGGAACACTATTTTTACTTGCACGATAATGAAATTTTAGTAACTTCTGGGTATTAGGTTAGTGAGCTTTCCTGATAATCCCCAAAACTAAAGTTATTGAGTACTCCATTACCCAGAGCAATCACGTGTGCACTATACCTGCATGCTCCTGATTTGATGGTCACATTCTTTTCCATGGCTCCTTTTCCTCTGCCAAGCCTGGAATGTTGGAACCCACAGTTCCTCTACCCCCCCAGCTCTATTCTCCCTATGAGTCCCATCTACAACTACAACTTCAACCATTACTTAAATGTCAATGTTTGTGTCTCCATTTCCAGCCTGCTCATCCCCTTTGAAATTTAGGACCATACTTTCATCTTCCTTCTAGGTAATCCCTATATATTTATGGATTAGACTACATTCAGACAAATCTAAACTCAACCTTTTATCTTGTAAGTTAATTTCTACATTTACTATCTGGATTTAAAGCATCATAACCAATTCAATAACCAGGATTGGAAACCTCAATTATCCTAAATGCCTCTATCTCCCTTCACCACTCTCTGAAATCATTACAATCTGTCTGACCATCCTTTAGTTCTCACTGTCGTAGATCTTGTATAACTTATCATTTTTCACATTGGCTTTGGTAAATGCTTTTAAAACTTGTCTCCTTGCCTCCAAATCATTGCTATAGCAAAAATATCTTCTGTGCTCCACTTCCATTTGACAAATATTTATTGAGCACCTTCTGTGTGTCAGGCTTTGTGGTGGGCATTTAGTAGAGAGTGCTTAGCAAATCAAAGACCTACACTCAGTGAACTTAGGCTCTAGTTCAGGAGATTAGGCAGCAACTAAGTAAACAAATAAATAGTCCACAGGGGGTGTTCAGTTAAAGAATAACTGGTGGCGGGTGTGCTATGTATATGGAATATACACTCAGGAGGTGTCATTTAGAATAAGACCTGTAGAAAGGGAAGAGGCCAGTCACTAAGAGTCAAAGAGAAGAACTAACAAAGGTCTGAGGCAAGAAGGGCCTTCAAGGGCTGTAACGCTGGAACAGAGTTTACAAGGGTGTAGTTGTATGAGACAAGGTGAGAGAGGGAGATACAGACTTTTGATCATTGTCCATGATCAAAATGTGAAGAACTGGAATCCAGAGGAGGGTTTTCCACAGAGGAGTAATGATCTATTTTACTTTTTTGTTTTTTTATAATCACCAGAATAATGTTTCCCAATCCCAATACGAGAGTCAGTCCTTTGCATCAAAAGAGTTATGTGGCTCCTTGTAAATGAGGTGATCACATGTTCCAGTTTGTTCAAGTGGGTCCTGGTTTTTGCCTGTTGTCCTAGTATAATTATTAATAGTCCTTTCCTTTCACTCTCATAAGGGTCCTATAGAGACCATAAAGTATATGGCCAACTCACTGAGAGAAAATACAGTAAGAGTCCTTAGGCTGCCCTAGCTGGTGTGGCTCAGCAGATTGAGCGCTGGCCTGTGAACCAAAGGATCAGCAGTTTGATTCCCGGTATAGGGCACATGCCTGGGTTGCAGGCCAGGTCCCCAGCAGGTGGCGCATGAAATGCAACCACACATTGATGTTTCTCTCCCTCTTTTTCTCCCTCTCTTCCCTTCTCTAAAAATAAATAAATACAATCTTAAAAAAAAAAAGAGTCCTTAGGTTCACATTCAAGGCCCTTCTGAATCTGGTCTCAGCTCACTTCTTTTCTCCCCCATCACATCTCTACCTTACGGTGTTCTGGTCAGTCTGAAATGTAATGCTGGCAGTGTCCTGAAAGGGACATGCACCTTCCATGGCTGTGCCTTTGCTCGTGCTCCTGCCTCTCAGTGAGTACACTGGGACCATCTCACTGACAAGTGGCCAGACCCAGGATGCCTTCCTCGCAACCATGCAGAATGAATAGCTTTCCCCTTTGCACTTAATCACAACTAGGTTAATTAGTTATAAGTCTGTTTCCCCTGTTAGAATAGTAGGAACCTAATGGCAAGGACGGCAGCTCCTCTTATGTTTTTGGGTTCTCACCACCCACTGCATGCCTGGTCCACAGCTGGTACTTGACATATGATTGCTAGATGAATTATTTAATATAAAAGCAACATAAAATGCACATAACAATAAGGTTGACCAATGTGATTTTAAAATTAATTTATTGGTAAGCTTAAAACATTATTGCCTTCATATCTATTTTCATTCTCAAAATTCATCCCATTGTTTAATGTAGCTCCATTCATTAGGAAGTGACAATAAACTTTTAATAGATGGCTGGAAGTAAAAAACTTTACACAACAAGTATTCTAGTTTTAGGAAACTAAATAATTTCTAAATAATTGTGAAGCTAAAATAAAATGGATGTATTAGAAAGAGGCATTTTCATATACTTACCACTCTTAAATGATCCAGAACAAATCTTGCTCAGAAGAAGTTTTTGACGTAATTGTAGAATTTCAGCTTCTAAGGTTTCAACTTTTTCTCTCCACTCCGACTCCTGCCCGGACACCACCTTCGCAAGGTACTCCGTGTATTCTCTGCTGCTTTTGTCCCCTGGTTTTGAGCGGATAATTGCCAGGGCCAGAGCCAGCTTTGAAATTCTCAAATACCATACTTGACTATCCATCCTGGCTTTTGTCCCTGTGGTCAATAACAAAAAAAGTTATAGAAATGAATTTTAACTTTTGCATTGTCTTTTACTTGCTCAAAATTGATTTTATATATAGAATCACACTAATTATTAAGTTTATAATACAACTTGAAAGCAAGTAACAGAAAAAAACTTTGTGGCCATAGATAATTTAATAGGGTTATTTATAATTCCTAAAAGACCCCATCAAAACCCAAAACAAAACCTGTCACCAGCTTGAACATCCAATGATAGATTTATTAAACTGTGACCCATTATACAATTGAATTGAAAATGTTTTTGAAAACATTTAAAAGTATGGGAAAATATTTTCTACATGATGTTAGTGGCAGAATAAAACATAGGTATCAATACCGTAAAATTGGACATTTGTGGGAAAAATCTACAGAGATTGAAATGTTGATACATTCAGAGACAGGTGGGAAGGAAGGACACAGAGAAAGAATAAAGAGAGAGGAGGAGGAAGGAGAAAGGTAGACTAATTTATCCAAATATGACCAATACATTGACTATAAGTTGAGGAAGCCTGACTTTATTTTCTTGTTTATACTTTTCTATAGTTTCCAAGTTTCCCACAATAAGCATTATAAAAACATACTACATAAGACATAAAAATGTCTTAATACTAATCCTATAGAAATATTTTGTATTCTATTTTTCAAAGTAGAAATTATAGGAAAAATGAAGATGGGTTTTGAACATAGTCTCAGAGCTCTATACCAATCATTTCATGGTTGTGGTAAGAAGCTCCAGCCTACAGAGCTCACATCCTCCATTCTGAGACATTTTTAACTATAAAACATAACATCAGTCCAACAACAGCCTTGGAGAGGGGAGAGAGGTTAGGAATGAAATAATAGCACATTAAACATACTCAGAAATTTTAAACTATCAACAAAGTACTTTAAAATTGAGCACTGGCAATGGAATGAGAATTTTGTCTCCTAGCTTTTCTAATCTCCCTTCCTGATCAGCCCCACAGTCCAGTAGCCTGTGGAGTTCAGACCTTTCCATGTCCACAGGTAGATGTATGCCCTTTCATTGAGATACAATTGGTGTTCCTTCCACTAATTCAAAGGACATAACGTATTTCAGAGGTGGGGCACAAAAACTTTACAATATGACCAAGCAGCAAGCTACTAGCCACTGTATCCTCAACATGTGAGCGCTGACTGGCTCATAGTGGGCACTCTAGTAAATCACTGAATGGGTGAGTGAATGAATGAATGAATATATCAATATAAGTCAGGCAGTCACAGACAGCTACTGGCCAGCTCTTAATCCTGGCTCTCATCAGTAAATCTTTGTCAATTACATAAGTAGAGAGAATGGCATTGGTGAAGAATGGATTAGGAAAATTTAATTAACTAACCTGAAGGTCACATCTCTCTTCAATTTGTGATGCATTCTTTTTTGACTACCTCCAGTGAATCTACTCTTTCTAAACTTATGCCCTTCTACAACCTTTAAACTTTCACCAAAACAATTCCCAAGTAAAGAAAATAAAAGAAAGATAAAATCTGGTTCATATATAGGTAAAAGTCACAGGGCAACTATAAGGGAGAAAGCCAAATTTTACCCCATTGTGAACCTTATAATAAATAATTAACTGCCTTCTCAGTAAAGCAAGAAACTGAAGAACACTGGCTAAATATTACCTAAATCACTGAGATAAATATGATGAGACAGAGTCAGAGTATAGGAGGAAGTGTCCATGTATCATGATGGTGGAATGTGCCTTTATCAAATATTGGTCTGGGGCACACCAGAGCTCTGGCAATGCCAGAAAAATAAGGTATTACAAGATTTTTTAGATAACTAGTTTCAATAAAGTTTGGGCAGAGTCTAACATACAATTTTTGGATTAGATCCAGCTGACAAATCCCCCAATTACTATTACAGTTTCAGTACACACCGTACTGTGAAGTACTCAGCAGATTAACATCATGTGAAATTTTACATTAAAAAATCAGGAGTTACTCAAGATTTCAAAACTCTCCACTTGAATTATTCAGGGAGCCTTTAAAAGCCTTTCCAGCAAAGAAAGTCTGTGCCTGACAAGAGGCTAGTAAAGGTAAAAGATTGCTTGCTTTATTTTTCCTTTCTATTTCATTTCCATCAAAACAGGCCAATTATCTATCATTTTCCTCTTATTGAAAGCATTAGCTAATCACAGATTTTAATTGTCTACGGAGTCTCTTAACACTGTTTTCTTTTTATGTAAACCCCTACCCCTCACCTTTTGATTCCTAAATATGTGTTGTGTTTTATTTTTATATTTTTATTGTTTCCGTAGGAAAGATTTTATCTGGATTCTGGCAAGGAACTACTGTAGAAGTTCACATAGGACAAATGCATTAAACATATTTTATAAATCAGCAAAATGTACATTGATTTAGAAATGTAGCCACGTAGATATAGCACACGCAGCAATCAATTTTCTACTATGTGAATCTGCAGAAGAAGACCTGATAACTACTATTAACACATATTTAAAAAATAATTTGAAATAATTATAGGTTTTTTCTAGTTACACCACTGGTATTTCACACATTGACATAGATATAATCCTTATCACTAAAGCAAGCATATTGTTCTTTGGGGTCCATAAAAATATCTGATCATTTACCTAACTTAAACCCATACACTCTACAAATCTGAAATCTTTATGAGGCTACACTTTGAAAATGGGAAAAGTTACATGTCATAAAATTAGGAAGATTATAGAGTGAAGCCAAACACCAAAGAAACACCCAGAAGATGCAACTGAGAGAGGTTCAGTCAATCCCAGGAAAGAGAGAAGTAGCTGACTTCTGGGAACCAGCTAAGCCAGGGCCTGAGCTTCAAGAAAAACAAGAATATAAAGAGGGGAAAAGGTGAGGCCCAGGGTCCTCTGGAAAAGGTAAATGACCCTATCCAAAGAAGTCCCATTTTGTAAATGACACATTAAGAAATAAGATGCTTTCCAGGTACTACTATGTAACCCCATCTTAGACTACACTTTTGCATACAGGTAAAATATGAACTCAAGAGAGTGCAAGCAGTCCCACAAAACCATTTTCTTTAAGGCTCATTTTTAACTCTGGAAAGGTGTTCTAATTCTCATCTGTGGCACTTATTTAAATCTCACCAAGGACAGCACAACAAGTAACTGATAATGCTTCATAGCTTCTCATAGGGCTTCATTATATAAGCAAATCTAATATGTCTTTTATTCTCTACTTAGATTTGCATTTAAAATATAGAGTTCTAACTTTTTTAAGTAGAGCCTATTAAAAGTGAGGCACTGTTTCACAAATACTGAGCAATTTGATTCTAGACATCCTCTAGCACATGATGTCCTTCGCATTTTTATTCCTTCAAATTCAGCTCCTTGATTTGTTTCAAACAACACACACACAGAGGCAGTAGAGCCTTTGTTGTAGGTCATCACTCAGAACTGGTCCTCATGCCTTCCTCTCCCACTGTCTGTTCCCACCTGCTCCTGCCCAAACTCTCAACTTAGTTCTATGATTGTGTATCCTCTGAAGTCAGTCAGTGACAGACTCACCTACTTTCACACCACACAAGTCATATCCTATATCAACACAAAGCTCTCCTCCACCAAGAATACATCAGTTCACAGAATTCGTGCTACGTACCCTCCAACCCACTCTGTAGCAACTACAACTAACCAACTAATGCATACCAGAAGAAGCTGTAAGCCAGTCCAGGAGACCAGTATGGTACTGTAACCTCCTGGGCAATAAAAAAAGAGCATGAGGCACACATCCTTGGGCACCAAGTGAGGGCATCCAGAGCATCCAATAATTAGTCTCTAGCCATCCTCCCATTACTGGAGCCAAAACCTACCTCTACCCATTTAACAGGACCCATTCAACAGAAAAAAATGACAAGAAAAGCCCTATGGCCTAAAAACTATTGTCTATTTTTTCCAAACAGCTACCCAAACTTTCCAATTCCCCATTTGTTCTACCCATGAGAACTTGCCTTTCTCCTTAAAATTTAGATCTGACCAACCCGAGATTACCAACCCAAAAACTGGCTCACGATGACACCATGGCCAGGCCAGAACCGCAGTGCCCGTGGAAAGTATAGGCAGACCTGCAGCTGCATAGGCATCATTTTTTTAAAAAAAAGTAACACCATTTGTATTAAGAATATCTAGAAACTTTTTTATAATGCTATCTTGTGACCATGAAAGAGGTCTTTTACTGAAAATATCATCAATCTATTTCATCTTTTAATCAGAACACTCAAACAACAAGAATGAGCCTTAGCTGCACCAGTGATTCAGTTTTACTCCAGGACAATCAATTAAAGTCATTCGTTTAAAACCATAGGAACTTCCCAAAGTAGTTCATCCTATAAAAGAAATTCAGATCTTTAACTTATGGTTTCTAAGTCTAAATCTATTTGTCCTTTCAATTGCTATAAGAAAATTATAAAATTTGGGTTTTATATCCTTAAAAATTTTACTGAACTATTAAGAGAAAATTTATTAAGAAAATAAAGAAAAATCACTAATTGACCATACTCATATATTTGACAATTTATTTCAAAAGAAAGTTTTTACCTAGATGGTCTGCCTAAGTTATTTGATGTGTATCTGAAGGGCTAAATTACAAATATGTAGGTTAAGGTAATTAACTATTTTTAGACAAACATGGGTTGCAAGTAAAAATGCAGTGTAAACAGGAAATCTGGAATGGCTTCGTTAATAGCAGACAAAAGAAACTTCATGGCAAGAAAATATTATCAGAGATGTAGAGGAATATTTCATAATGATAAAAGTCAATCAGGAAAATTAACAATCCTTAATGTGTATGCATATAATAGCAATTACAGAATTTCCAAATATATGAAGGAAAAATTGAAAGAACTTAAAGGAGAGGTAGACAAAACCACAATCATATGTGAAGATTTTAACACACTTCTTCCAATAATTGATAGAATAAGTAGACCTGGAATAATAATAATAATAA